GAACGTGTTATCTAGCCTGTAATCAGAATACTAATATTATAGGTTAAATCGAACCTATTTAGCTAGCCTGTGATCAGAATACTAACATTGTAGGAAGGTGGTTAAATCGAACGTGTTATCTAGCCTGTAATCAGAATACTAATATTATAGGTTAAATCGAACCTATTTAGCTAGCCTGTGATCAGAATACTAACATTGTAGGAAGGTGGTTAAATCGAACGTGTTATCTAGCCTGTAATCAGAATACTAATATTATAGGTTAAATCGAACCTATTTAGCTAGCCTGTGATCAGAATACTAACATTGTAGGAAGGTGGTTAAATCGAACGTGTTAGCAAGCTTTTGATTGGAGGACTAACAACATAGGGAACATGGTTAAATGGAAAGTGTTAGCTAGCCTATGATAAGAGTACTAACATCATAGGAATGTGTTAACTAGCCTGTGATCAGAGTACTAACACCATAGAAGAATGATTAAATGTAAGGTATTAGATAATTAGGGTCGAAACTATATGAAACACTATTAGTAATCAATCATAATTTATCACTTTACTTCTACGTATACAAAACAATTAATTGTTACCTGTATTGAATTTTTTTTTATAATAAAGACAGAATGGAGGCATATTTACGATTTTTTTTAAAAACCTTTGTTTAAATACTATGTTATTTTAAAAACATCACGATAATTTTCATAATACACGTTTCTTAGTTTCAGAGAAGAAACATATCTAACCAACCAAAATATTGAATTTCTTTGAAGAACACAACAACGTGTATAGCCTCGAAACATTCTGTCAATACAGAGAGAACTAAAGGGACATTCAGTAGAGCGCACACTTCCACCACGCAGCGTTGATCATAGTCGGCCTTCAAAAAATAGGAAAATGTGTGTCTGTATGTCCGTCGTTATCAACGGACGCTGACCATTTTCGGCAGAACAATGAGGAATGATATTCTACACACGTCCATCAAAATCAGATCATTTTTGACTGAGATATAGAGAGAAAGTATTGTGAGAAATCGGTCCCCAGGTTAACAGATAGGGATTTTAGTGACCTTGACCTTTGATCTGAACCCTCAAAAACTAATCACTTCCAAGTTGGGTCATAGTGCAAATGTATGCCAACTTTCGTCCAAATCCATTCAGGCCTTGTCAAAAACTCTTGTTGACAAATACACATACACACACACAGAATGGCATAACCTTCGATGGCGGAAGTAATTATTTCTTAAACGGAAGTGAACGTGTTGGATGTCACCTTGATATTGTGTCTGAGAAAATTTATTTTTTATATTTTGGTTTGTTTATTACTAAACATAAAAGCTATACAAAGCTTCCTTCCGCCGGTATCGAAACCCGATTTCTAACGTTATAAACTCTCAGAAATACCGTGGGAGGGGATCATCAGTTGGTATGTTTGGTAAATAGTGTGACTACTAGCAAGATTATCTTACAGACGTTTATCATTTATTTATCAAGATCTCCACTTTTTCGCTTCTACTACACGATTACTAGAATAACAACTATTCTAACAGTCCCAACTCCGCCTAATCAGTAAATCTTGCAATTTACTAAAAGATGAAACAGAGATGTAGAAAGAAGATTTTCTAAAAATCACTCACGTTTTCTTGAATCGGTCGCTTTCTACGGACTTCGGTGAATTGTTTCGCACAGCTTGTGATCCATTTAATGTTTATTTTTTTCAATATATTCTATAACTTATTGTGTTTTGTCACTTGCGTATAAAGTTAAAATAATAAATAATATTCCACGTTAAAATTGGTACACAATTAAAAACATTTTGTTTAGGCCTATCTATGGCTTTTAAAAAAGTTGTCGACTCTACACGTTTCAACGTCATCCTCGGGAGTAAATTACAAGCTCATGCTAAAGTATTTATAACTTGTTAGTAGGTCATGTGACCTGTATGCTATTTTACATAAATTCACGCTACACCATTCAAAGGAGATCAATCCACATTCTTGCAGAAATATTCGTCACACCTTCATCTCTATTTAATACTACATGATCTTTTTTATGTTTTATTATTTCTAAGGATTCACGAATATTATTACCTATTATATTTTTTGGTTGAGCTAATATTACAGTTTTTTCCCATAATATTGTGTTTCCTGTACATGTTCTGCTATGGATGAATTTTCAGTTTTGTTATTTTTTACATATCCCTTATGCTCATATAAACGGTATTTTAAATTACATTTTGTCTGACCAATGTAAATACTTCTACATTCACATTCTATTTTCATATATTCCAGTTTTTTCAGTTAACTGTATTTCGTCTTTCGTAGTACCTAAGATTTGATTCATCTTATTTATCAGTTTAGATATAGGCTAGAGTATTTGTTGTTTTTTAAACACTTTAAATAAACTAGTAGTTAAACCTGGAACATGTGGTAAAATTAAGCCTTCCTTTCTAATTTCTTCATAACTAGGTTTTAAAGTACTAATTTGATCAATTATTATAGCATTAGTGAATTTCTTAACTGCTCTATCTATAATAATCGGGTTAAAACCTCTTTCTAATTGTGTACCAATTTTAGCGTTGAATATTATTTATGATTTTATATTCTATGACTTTGGTAAGTAACATTAATACCGCCAAGTGGCGTAGCCCGTAGCTGAAGATTGTTACGGAAATGTGACTCCAGATAACTTGGCCCAATGCTCAGAGTGGATACGTTTAATAATATAATCAATAATATATATAATTCATAAGTCATTTCTAACAACACCTGTTTTTCAAAGGTTGTTACTACTTCTTTCATGCCGTATAAAAGATCACAAGTGTTTATTCTTTATAACTTATTTCTAACGCTTTAAAAAAATGATGTGATAAATTTCAGCCTAATGGAAACGCGCCCTCTTCCGAAGAAAGGTATTACTAGCATAAATATATGTGAAAATTGTAATCATTGTAATTTTTTTTTCTTTTATGGAAAACATCCACATCGACCAGTCACGTTAAGTAATTTCCAACGAGGGGAGTTTGATTATTAAATTTCTAGTGACAAAAGAAAGATCAAGCAAATACACAGAAGAAGATTACTAGAGACTACTCACAAGTAATTAAAAATGTAAAAGATTTATATGATGAGTTCTGATAATGTACGAATAACCTATTGGTCACTGACTTGTTGGAAATAAATGGTAAATTTATAACAAATTTCAAACCTTTTTTTTTCAACAAAACGTAAAAATATATATATAATAAAACATAATTACAACAAAATCAATAATT